TAGCATTTCCTTGGGCCGCCATTTACTGCTTACCCAGGAACCAAGTGCGATGCCAACACTCAGCTCCCTCCCAAGCTCATGTTGGCACCCTGTGAACAGAGGAGAGAGAACTGTCCTAGCACAAAGCAAAGAGACTCACCATCTCTTCAGGGCTTAGGTACTCAGAGGCAAGCCGGGGCCCTACAGAGCTCAGAGACTGAGCCTGCAGCCGTAGCTTGGCCCGGATCTCTTCCAGCTCACGCTCCCTCAGTCCATCGGCCATGCCCCCCTGCTCCAGACGGAAGGAATGTGGCCGCTCGCCCTCCAGCTCCTCATCATATTTGGCCAGGATAGAGCGGGGTTTTTGCTGCAAGGTAAGAGGGTGGCTGGGACCTAGGCCAACTCTTGGGAAGCCATGGAATGGTAGATTTCTTAGTACCACACACCATCTGACCCAGCTGATGCCCCACAGGCAAACCTGTGCCAAGTCATCCACACTCTCATCCTCTGCGTAGGGCAGGTAGTCGGGCTTCTTCTTCCGGAGCTCCACGTTCTTGTCTGCCCGCTCTCTGTCCACCATGTTCACATTCACCAGCACATCCTCGCCCTCCTGCAACACTCCTACAACAGCAGAGGCAACACGGTTCCCAGCCGCCCTCGCCAACAAAGTCCACACCCCACAGGGAGTAACCAGTTCAGCTCACCTTTGTCCTTGAGGGTGAGGACCACAGTCTCCCCTTCTCGAAAGGAATCGATGGCATGTTCCACAGTGAGGCCCTGCAAGTCCCGTGCACTATACAGGTCCTACAGCAAAGAACCAACCAAGTCAGAGACCAGAATGCACCCAACCCTGGGATGAGCACATCGAGGCCACAGTGTCCAATAGGCAGTCTCTGGGTGCTGCAGCTTCACCTGTCGCCGTTGCTCAAACTCCTCCTCCACTAGAGTGCTCACGCCAAATTCTTGGTCCATCTCCTCTAGTAGCTTGGCCTGAGGGGAAAGGGTGACCAGCAACCTCATCATCAGTGACCAAAAAAAACACCCAAGACTCTACCAAGTAGCTGTACAAAAAGGAAAGGCTTTGCAGTGAAACTGAAAAGCCCAAAGCCCCTGAGCACAGACCACCCCTGGCAACTGCCCTACACAGACAGAAGTTCTCACCCTCTTCTCTGCCAGGTCCTTCTCCTTCTGCAGCTGCCGGCTCCTCTCGATCCAGGCTGCAGTGTCATCCAGCCAGGGGTCATCCTCCCCCAGAGTCTTTATTTTCCTGAGGAGGGAGGACACTTAGGAGGGAACCCAGACATGTTTTCCCAGCCTGACCCAGAGGCAAGGGAGCAACAGTCTTCCTCATTGTCCAGAAAACCCTCACCCCAATTTTTGATTCAGCAAACGCTTTTCCTTGGCAGCTGCCAGCTTCTCCCGCAGTTCTTCACGCTGTCGCAAGGCCATGGGGTTGATGACGTCAGCTGCCACGGGCTCCTCCTTGGTGCCCGCCTCTGGAAGGGGGGCCCAGACGTGAGGCTATACTTGCCCATGGCTGGTGGGGAGAGGAGGGAGCCACTCACCCTGCCCCTTCCAGCCCAGGGGCCAGAAGGGGCCGGAAAGGGGGGAGAACTGTTTCACCTCCCGATTCCTACCTCACCCCCACTTTTGTCACCCCACATGGTATGACAGGAACTCTCCCCTTTATGCCTTCCAAAGCTTCTCAGATCATGTGGGGTTTTCTGTCAGTTTGGTTTTTGATATGCGTATTTGTTTTGTTTTGTTTTTTTGATTTTTCGAGACAGGGTTTCTCTGTGGCTTTGGAGCCTGTCCTGGAACTCTGTAGACCAGGCTGGTCTCCAACTCACAGAGATCCGCCTGCCTCTGCCTCCCAAGTGCTGGGATTAAGGGTGTGTGCCACCAACACAGGGTCAGTGTGCATATTTATTAATAAAAAAATACAACAACAAAAAACCTAACACCACTCAGACAGCCTATAGCAACTGTGCATATCCATTAGCCTGTCTAAAGCCAGGGTGAAGGTGCCGAGGCCACACAGGAAAGGCACATCTCAGATCCTCTCGGGACACAAAGGGAAAGCTTGGCCCCAACAAGACAGACAAAAGGCTACTAAATGGAGTTGCTCTGCGTGCTAAGCCAACTTTCTTCCCACTTAATGCCCCAGTGCAGGTCTCTCCTCAGCTCTACTCACCTTTCTTGACAGCACTGACCTCCAAGGGTTTGAGCCCCAACTTTGCACGGAGTTTACTGAAGACAAGAGATAGAAGTATTAGAGTCTACCTTAAGAAATGGGGTAACAAGTGTATTTATGGGGGAGAAAACAAGGTGAGAATGCGCGGTTCTAGGGTAATAAGTACAGGCCCTAACCCTGGCAGCTGGGGCTTGAGGACGACAAGGGCTTCCAGATCAGGGAATGCCTAACTGGGGAAGACTATCCTTCCTCTTGGGTCTCAGTTTCTTTCATGTAGCTCCTATGGTTGGCAAACTGACTCATCTGGCCATTCCAACTCTAACTGGCTTCGTTTAGAGTGAAAATGTTTCTATAGGTAACAGCCCCAGGTACAACCAGTTTTAGAGGAAAACAGAACAGCATGAGGGCTACTCACTTGGTCTCCTCGATGCTAAGTGACGAGGCATCTCCAGAGCTGGTTTTGGAGCTGGCAGCTAAAACAATAAGGAGCATGGCTTAAGGGACCCATGAACATGGGACCAAGAAGCAACACTGTGGTCTTCAGCTGCACCTGGGTAGATGACACCAGAAAACAGCAGCCTTCTCCCCCAGGTCCACAGCAGCTGCTACCCTCCCTCATCTTCTTTCTGACTGAGGCCTTCACCTTCTGCATCCCTCACTGTGCCTCTCCACACGCCACCTTCAGCCTCACAGGCCCTTCTGCTCTTGTTCTCACAGAGTTCTATCAAAACAGCAAGTATCATCCTCCCTGAAGCCCTGTTCAAGTACTGACCAGAATTAAAACGCTGCCTAGAACTACACAGCACTGTTTGTCATTTCTGGCCCTTTCTGCCCACAGCAGTGTATGCAGTCAAGGAATACTTACTAGTGTGTGTTCCGTGCCAGATGTTGTGCACATAGGAAAGTAAGCACTGTGGACCTGATCTATCTACCCCACAAACAGGAGAGAACTTCAACAAACACTACCCAGAGGAAGAGGCCACCAGGGTGCCCGCATCCCCCGTCACACACTACTTACTGTTCTTTAAACCTTTCCTCCCCTGCGTAGGCTCTGGGACCCATTTTCTATATGAACTCTGAAGTTTTACGTCTCCCTTTTTCCAATTAGCAGATTTTCTTTTTTCCAATTTGGGGGCTGGAGATGTCTCAGTGGATAAGAGCACTTGCTGTTCTTACAGAGGACCCAGGTTTGGTTCCCATAATCTATATGGCAGCTCACAGCCACCTAACTCAGTTTCAGGGGATCCAATGCCCTTATCTGAACCTCCACAGGCACCAGGAATGCACTGAGTACATATTCACATATGGAGGTAAAAACACTCAAATGCATAAAATGAAAACAACCCTTTGTTTATAAGTTGTGGTTCTGCACAATGTCCTGTGGTATGTGATGCTGGTAACCACTCCACCTTTTCAGCAATTATCTATTTGCACAGATCCTATGATCCAACTGTAGTGTTCCTGCCATTTGGCTACTCTATCTTTCAAGTACGTTTCTCTACCTACAACTAAGCTACTGGCATTTACCAAGTTCTACTTCTGACCCTGGTGCTCGACCAACACATTCTAGGGCACTTCTTTGGTTTCCTGAATACACACTAGCCCCAAACCACTCTATTCCACTTAAACTGTAAGTCTTCCCATACACACCGACCAAAGTTCTCCCAAACTGTCATCATTTTCCCTTACCTCAAATCTGGTCTTCTAAACACCAATTTCAACAGATGAAAACCACTCACCAGGCCGGTAAGGTTAAAACTCCAGGAGGCATTCCCTATTCCTCATCCCTCCTATCCTCAATCCATGCACTAAATTTTGTTCATTCCACTTCCTAAACACCTATTCAATATTTCCATTCTCTTCACCTCACCGTATGGAGAAACATGCATACTCACTATTAGTCTTTACCTGGTTGGGTTGACATCCCTCCTGCCTGATCTCTGGGTCTCTTGTCCTATTTTTGACAAGCTCTCAACGCAGTGATCTTAACATATGAAGCAAATCAACTCCCTTCCCTACTACAAATCCTTGGCTCCCTACCGTCTTCATCACAAAGACCAAATTTCTCAACAGAGCTTACAGCACAGTGTCCTTGGTGTTCAGACCCAAGAGTATCTTACTGCTTCATGACGCTACCATGAGCGCAACACGATTCACCCAAGGTCAGGTTTCTCTTGCCTCTGTTTGCATTCTCCTGCCTCATTTCACCCACCCAAGGCATTACTGTACAGACAGTAAAGGAAAACAGAAGACCCCGGTCCCTTTGAAGCTCAACATGGGGAGTCAGTGTTGAATCCCCAACAGCCAAAGGAAGCCTTTAGCACAAGGCCCTGGAGGTCGCTCTGCACCCTCCGTCCCACGCACCCCAAGACCCTGCCCCGCCCCCGCCCCGTCCTCACCGGCCTCGTAGCCGTCATCGCGTTTCTCCCGCTTCACGCGCCGCTCCGAGGGCTCCGCTTGACTTCGTTCGCGACCGTGCGCGCCGCCGCGGGCCTCGGCTTCGGCCCCGCGCCTCCCACTCCCGCGCTCGCCCCCACGCTCGCGGCTCCGCTTCCGTCGTTCGCCGCCGCTGCTGCCGCCGCCGCTGCTCCGATGCTTGTGTTTCTTGTGCTCTCGATGCCGCGGCGGCTGCTCGGTGGCGCCCCCGGTACCAGCCGCCGCCGTCGTCCCGGTCGCCTCCTTCTCTCCGCGGTGCTTCTTTGACGACCCCATGATTAGTGCGTCCGTCTGGAGCCGGGCCGCCACCCGAGCCCAGACGACGCAAAATGGGAATACTTCCGGGTCGTGCGACCGCCCCGGTCCTGTTGCCGGAAACTAAAAGCGGCTGCTTCCGGGGCCTGCCTGGGAACTTCCTAAGGCTCATGGGAGGGACTGATTGAGACTGCGCGTTCCCGGCTACCAGGTACTGGTCTCTGCGCATGTGCACCTGTAGAGGCTACGGAATCAATGTTGTCCCTCTCGGGCTAGAACTTTACCATCTTACTAAGCTACAATCTCCGGAGCTAGAAACTCTTTCCCTGCCTCCTTTCCTTTCCACTCTAATAGCCTCGTGGTGCTCTGTGCCTCAAGTCTCTCCGTGGGCGTCCCCTTCTCCAATGATTGCCCTTCTAGGTAGGCACCCTGGGGCCGGGATCCACCCGGTGTTGGAAGATACACATGTTTTCTTCATGAAGAAACCAGCTGCAAAGGCCCAGGCTTCCAACCCTAATAAACCAGTATTGCCAGCGAATGCTACCGTCGCCGGATTGGTGGATTGGATCTTTTTTAACCTGCGCTCTGCTAAGGAACACTGTGAATTTGTGCCTGTGAACCCCGTGAAATTGAGTGCTGTTTTTAGTTTCTAATTTTCTTTTCATCTTTTGTTTTGTTTTTTTGAGGCAGGGTTTCTCTGTGTTGTTTTGTTTTGGTGACTGTCTTGCAACTCGTTCTGTAGACCAGGCTGGTCTCGAACTCACAGAGATCCGCCTGCCTCTGCCTCTGCCTCCCGAGTGCTGGGATTAAAGGCGTGCGCCATCAACGCCCGGCCTCTTTTTCTTTTTAAGAAAGGGTCTGTATAGGTCTGGCTGGCCTGGTACTTGTTATGTAGCCCTGGCAGGTCTCGAACCCACCACAATCCCTCTGTTTCAGCCTCCCTTGTGCTGGGAGTGGCCGGGATTTCAGGCATGCACGCCCAAGCCAGGCTCAAGTGCAAATTGGGCAGATCCGTTTTTTCCTTTTATTTATTTATTTATTTATTTATTTATTTATTTATTTATTTATTTATTTATTTTTACGAGACAGGGTTTCTCTGTATTGTTTTGGAGGCTGTCGGTCCAGCCGGGCCTCAAACTCACAGAGATCCGCCTGCCTGCCTCTGCCTCCCAAGTGCTGGGATTAAAGGCATGTGCCACCACCGCCCAGCCTCTTTTTCTTTTTTTAAAGACTGTCCCGTTAACTAACTACGCTGCCTCAGTCCGGGATTACAGACACAAGTCACCATGCCTTGCTTTCCCAGCCTTTTCTGTCTTCCTGGTTTTTTTGTTTGGTTGATTGCTTGTTTGGTTTGGTTGCTTTGTTTTGGTCTTGAGGAGATGGGCTTTAAAGTTAAAGACTCTCACACTCCCTTCTGATACCACTTGCTTTGTGGATTTCCTGTGTAACACACCTCGGCATGTTTTGGTGTGGTTTTCATGCTCCTTTATGCCTCCGCTTCATGACTGAGAGTCTTCAGAGACAGGGTCCTGTTCGCTAGCATTTCCAAGTGTCCAAGTCTCAGTAGCAGAGACAGCGTGTGTTTGCTGAGGAAGAGGTGCAGCCAGGGTTCCCGGCCTATGGGGGAATAGCCAGGTCCAGGCCACCCATTTACCACTGCCTCTTCCCCCAGTGCATAACCAACTCGAGTCAGAAATCTCACACCGTACTTGCCATAAAGCATTTAATCTTATTCAGGGATTGTGATCCAGGTCCAGTGTTGGGGAGGGGAGTTTTCCAGGCTGACTGCTGGTGGGTTCTATCTTTGGGGGACTCTGAGAAGAGGGCTCCATTTCTACTCCAACTGACCGGTGGCTCCTTGAAGACACAGGTGGAGGTCATTGGGCTCCATAGCACCCCCTCCCCCATGCCCAATGAAGCCTTTTACCCTGTGGGTCCCTGGGAAGTGGCCTTCCTCCTGCAGTCTTTTGTGTTTTACTGCTGTACACCAGGTTATTTATTCTAAGGTGCCAGGGACAATATCCATAGGGTGACAGTATGGCACCAGCTGCTTGGCCTATCTTGCTAAGAGTCCCAGACTAGCTTGACTGCTTACTTGTCCTGTGTCCTCTGGTCTCATTGGAAGGTGGGAACAATCACCCTGCCACCTCCCTGGATGATGTGAGAGCACTGGGAGGACCAGAGGCCGGCGAGGATGCCTCATCCCGCCTCACCTGTGCTTCCGGGAGATGCCCTCTGCATTGCCTGCCTCAGCCAGCAGCTGTTCCTCATCTACCCCCAGTGCTGACAGCACCCTCGAGAAGTGCCGATTTGCTGTGAGCCTGGCGTTGGTCTGATGAGAGAAAAAGAAGGTTCCTGTTCTTCACCAACTCTGCTGGGGTCACCACAGGGCGCTGGTTATTAAGGAAAGGGTCCCAGGCCATCTTAATAAGTGGACCCCATTCCAACTTTGTTTCATTGCAAGGCAGCTCCTGGGGGTGCTGTTTGCCTGCACACTGCACAGGTGTTACGTCTCACCTGCATGGCCTGCTGGAACAGGAAGGGCCGGGCCTGCACCCTGTGTTGGATGCCCTGCAGCTCTGACTGGTACTCAGCAAAACGCTGTCGCTCCTTTCGCCTGTAAGAAAGACAGGCCTCAGCCAGGCGGTGGTGGTGCACGCCTTTAATCCCAGCACTCAGGAGGCAGAGGCAGGCGGATCTCTGTGAGTTCGAGGCCGGGCTGGACCGATAGCCTCCAAAACAATACAGAGAAACCCTGTCTCGTAAAAACCAAAGAAAAAAAAAGAAAGAAAGACAGGCCTCTGGGCAGCTGAACATGGACACTCCCAGGTTAGAGGCCACTGGTCCTCAGTGAAGCTTATTAATATGTAGGTTTCCCCTGGGCGTTGGTGACACATGCCTTTAATCCCAGCACTCAGGAGGCAGAGGCAGGCAGATCTCTGTGAGTTCGAGGCCAGCCTGGTCTACAGAGCAAGATCCAGGACAGCCTCCAAAACAATACAGAGAAACCCTGTCTCAAAACAACAACAACAAAAAAACACATTTCAATCCCATTCTGGCCCTGTATTTCTTGGGTGGGATTATTAGGGTGGCACTTACTTGTCCCATTTTACTGATGGCTCAGGGAGGTCACAGGGACTCATACAATAAAGTAGGATTGAATGCCTGTCCCAAGTTTAGGCTGTGAATCCAGGACTTGCCCCATGTTCTGGCCACCCCCAAAGGAAGGATCAGTCCTGGCTTCTGAACTCCTGCTTGCACAGCCTCCCCCTTCCTAAAGCTCATCCCTCCATTTCCCCCCTCTTGCACCTTAAGAAACAACATATAAAAGGACATCTCCCAAAATTGGGCCTGGTGGCTAACATTTGGGAAGCTGAAGCAGGAGAACTGCTTGAATTCAAAGCCAATCTGGGCTACAGAGTGAGTTCCAGGCTAGTCTGGATTGCAGAGTGAGACTATCAAAAACAAACGAACAAACAAAAAAATCTGGACTGCACTGGAGAAAAAGCTATTTACAAAAGCTTGAAGATGTTTAAACAGCTCAGCAGGTCAATGTGCTTGCCACACTTAAGGCTGCAGCTTCGGCTTAAGCTCCAGAGCTCCCAGAATGGTCCTTTAACTGCTTTGATGTGAGCTCCTTCTTCTTTGACATGATGCACATGCCTGTGATTTCAGCATTCATCAGGCACAAGTGTTAGGATAATCTTTTGTACACCATGTGAAGATGTGTCTCTGTCTTATTACTTTACTGCCTGAGGCACCTTCTGATTGGTTTAATAAAGAACTGAATGACCAGTAGCTAGGCAGGAGAGGATAGGTGGAACTTCCAGGCAGAGATAGGAACTCTGGGAAATAATCTGAGGTGGAAGATTCACCAGCCAGACGCAGAAGAAGTTGGACGTAACAGTATTCAGGAGAGGTAACAAGCCATGTGGCGGAATGTAGATGAATATGAACGGGTCTTTAAGTTTTAGAGCTAGTTAGAAACAAGCCTAAGATAAGGCCAAGCTTTTGTAATTAATAATAAGAGTGTCTGTGTCATTATTCAGGAGCTGGCAGTCAAAAGAAAGACCTGTTAGAAGTAGGAAGATCAGAAATTATCCTCTGCTACATAGTTCTAGGCCAACTTGGGCTACTTGAGATTAGCCCAGTGTTAACGCTACCTTCTGACCTCATGATCCTCACAGGACTAGGTATCTGTCAGCTAATGCACAGAAGATGTGTCCAGCATGGAGTGGCAGAAGGCACAGATGAGGTGACAGGGATGAGCAGACAAGGCCTGAAACTTGTGCTAGGTTCTCAGGCATGTTGGACACACATGGGAAGGCTTTCCATGCTAGGCCAGGTGCCTGGGAAAACCATACCAGGACCACAAGCTCCATTAAGAAGAGCCTTCACCTGTAGTGAGAGATCTACCCAGCCTCACCTGTAGCGCTGACCACGCCCATTTGGGCATGGTCACAGGTGCCTACATGAGTATGTGGGATTAGGCCTGGGGTCCGGGACAGGCTCCCGCTCTCTTGGTTCCCATCAGGTCACAAAGAGCAACCTGTGTGTGGATCCTTGGAGCAGGAACTTGCGAGTCATCGGTTTCTTATGTAAGTGACTTCTCCCCGAATAAATTTAACCCATACGTAACCAAGCCCCATGTATCTTAATCTGCATCTACATTCGCCAATCGATCAAGAGAGATGGTCAGTGGTTACAAGTATAGAGGCAGTCATGAGCTGTCAGTAAGACTGCCTTTTTCATGAGTCCTGTGTGTTTTTCTGGTTTTTAAAGATTTATTATTTATTTATGTATATGGATACTTTGCATGTACATCTGCATGCCAGAATAGGGTACCAGACAGTTGTGAGCTGCCATGTGGGTTCTGGGAATTGAACTCAGGACCTTTGGAAGAGCAATAAGTGCTCTTAACCACTGAGCCATCTCTCCAGCCCCCCTGTGTGCTTTTCTTGCTGTATAGTTTTGTTTTGTTTCTTGACACAGGGCCTCACTGTGTAAGCCAGACTAGCCTGGAACTCCCTCCCTAGACCTGGGACTAAAGGTGTGTGCCACTGTGCTGGCATCTCATATTTTTAGACAAGATCTCTCACTGAATCTGGAGCTCACCAATTTGGCTAGACTGGGTGGTCAGCGAGCCTCCTAAGCACTGGGTGCACACAGCTGCAATTTGTTGATGTTTTTAATTTTTAAAAAATGGATGCTAAGGATTCAGCCCAGGTCATCATGCAACATGTATCCGATGACTAAGTTGTCTTCCAAACATCTTTGTAGTCTAGGCTGACCTGAAATGCACAATCCTTTCTCAGCCTCCTAAATGCTAGGATTGCAGGCATATACCATTATGTAAAGCTTGTTTTGTTTTTTAAACAGTCTGGTAGGGGACACTGAGGTCTCATATATGCTCAAGCCATGCCCAATGAGACAATTCACTTCCTGTTGACTGCACCAAGTATAGAGCTCTCAGCACCATGTCTGCCTGCATATTGCCATGTCCCACCATGAAGATAATGGTCCAAACCTCTGAACTGTAAGCCACCTCATTAAATGTTTTCCTTCATAAGAGTGGTCATGGTGTCTCTTCACAGCAATAGAAACCCTAACTAAAACAGTAACCAAACAACTGCCAGGGCTTACTTCAGACCTCGGCAAATCATTTAAACTTGCTGTTCTCTGGGCCTCAGTTCCTTTTCTGTAGTACTATGTGGGTATGGGTACTACCTAACTCATGGGCCATTAGGAAGAACTGCTTGATTTGTGAAGTTGCTTCCCAGAAATATAGTCTAAATTGGTACAAACCTTAATCCAGCACTTAGGGACAGGAGAATTGCTATGAATTTGAGGCCAGCCTGGTCTATATAGTGAGTTCCAAGTCTGGGACACCGGATGAGTCCCTATCTCAAAGGAGAAAAGAGAGCTGGGTAGAGTAGTGCCTTAAATCCCTGTACTTAGAGACAAGTGGAAGGGTCTCTGGGAAAGCCAGGTCCACATGTGTGCCTCTGCCTTCCAAGCCAGCCAGGGGCACGTGAAGAGACCCTATCTCAAAAGGGGGGCAGTAAAAACATGGAAAGATAATGAAACACACTATTCCAGCTGACCATGCATGCATACTACTTGTCTCTAGGAATGGAGTCCCTGGGACTATTATGGAATACATCAACTACATTTTAAAATGTATATTTTGAATGTATGAGTGTTTACCTGCTTGTATTTAAGTGTACCATACATGTGCCTGGTATGTGCAGAGGCCCGAAGAAGAGGGTGTTGGATTCCCTAGAACTGGAGTCACAGCCCAGTAAGTTACCATGTGGGTGCTGGGAACTGAACCCAGGTCCTTTGTAAGGGTAGTAGGCTCTTACCCACTGAACCATCACTCCAATCACTCAACAAAAAATTTTTTGAGACAGGGTCTTGCTGGCCGGCCTATGACTCACTAGACCAGGCTGGTGTCAAATCAAAGCAATCTACGCCTCTGCGTCTGCCTCCGGTGATTAAAGGTGTGAGTTATCATGTCCAGCCATCCTCGATTTTTATAACAAGCATGTCTGGCACCAAGAAACAATAATAATAATCATAATAAATATTTGAAATCATGACTGTGGGCAGAATGCTTGAGCTTGAAGGTCTGATATCTGAAGGGGTTTCTATTAATACCTCCAGGATCTTGACCCAGCCCTTCTAAGTGGCCTGGCCTGCCTGATGTGGTCCTGTAGCCTGACACCCAAGCACAGCCTTCCTGCCAGGCCCCAGCCAGGCCCTGCAAAGCCTGGCCTCCTACCTCAGCTCCTCTAGTTTGCGCTGAGCAGCCAGGGCTCCTCTGCTCCCCCGGGGTGTGTAGGCTGCCAGACAGCGAGCCACCTGCTGCTGCACCTGATGCTCCCGCGCCCTGCGCATCTCAGCCTGCTGCCGCTCCTCCAGCTGCTGCCGTTGCCAAGCATGCAGCAGGTTTCTGGCAAGGAAAGGGAGATGTCCACAGGGGATCAGAAGATTCAAGGAAGGTCAGGGTAGCATAGACCAGACTGTGGGAGGAAGCAGTGTCTCAGACAGCCGAGGTCCTGGGAAACAAAGGGCATTTTTCATGGAAGCCAGGCTTCATGGAGCCTGCAAATGGTGGCATACAACCAGCTTAAGGCCTTTCTTTACCTGTTCTTCAGCAGTGAGATCCAGTTCTTTTTGTTGAAGTTGTTTTTGTTTTTTGAGACAGGTTTCTCTGTGTAGCCGGGAGCCTATCCTTGAACTCACTGGTATCAAACTCACAGAGATCTGCCTACTTCTGCCTCTCGAGTACTGGGATCAAAGGTGTGCTCCACCACTGCCCAGCTTGAGATCTAGTTCTTAACACCTGGATCAGGTCTCATGAACAATATAGAGCTCAGCCTAGACCTCCTGAGTCCTGAGGAGCTCAGCACACAGCCTGGGACCTTTTTGAATTGCCCACATTACCTTGCCCAGCAACTGTCTTTAGGAAAGGACCAGGTCCTTTACTTTACTTGACAGCAGCTAGGTCAATGCCTAACAGCTTGAGGCACAGTTGGATGGATGACAGTAAGTCGTATGAATAAATGTGTGGGAAAGAATAAAAATGTCTAAGGGATCAATATGTGAAGGAACATGTAGGCGAAAAGTGTGGATAGCTGAACAGCTACTAAACAAACCTGGAGTATTCTTCCCCAGACATCATGGCCAGTTTCCTCTCATCGATCCTGTCTTTGTCATTTCTCCAGAAAGCTTCCCCTTGGCTACTCTATCTCCTTTGTAGCAATTTCTTTCTCTAGCTACATACTTTGTTCATTTCATTTCTTATGTATCCCTGGCTGGCCCTGAACTCTTTCTGTAACTGAGAATAACCTTAAACTTCTGAACCTCATGCCTACACCTCCAGAGTGCTGGGATTTCAGGCTGAACCACCACATTGGGCTTTAAAGTTACCTTAACAGAAAGAAGAACTAGAAATTTCATATGTCCTGATTTTGTAAGAAACCATTAAACTGCCAGACAGTGGTGGTGCACACCTTTAATCCCAGCACTCAGTGGGCAGAGGCAGGTGGATCTCAGAGTTTGAGGCCAACCTGGTCTACAGAACAAGTTCCAGGCCAGCCAGGGCTATACAGAGAAACCTTGTCTCAGAAAACAAAATTAATTAGTTAATTAAAAGTAAAAAAGAAAGAGAGTAACAATACAGAGAAACCCTGTCTCAAAAAACCAAAAAAAAAAAAAAAAAAAAAAGAAAGAAAGAGAGTGATCCTGCCTCAGAATGGTAGGAGAGAACCAGAGGACCAGCTCCTGACACTGTACATACATTCCCATGCATGGTGATATACACCTGTAATCCTAGAACACAGGAGTCTTAGGCAGGAGAATTATAGCAACTTCAGTGCCAGTTGGGGTACATAGCTAGTACCAGACAAGGTAGTTGTGGCTAAATAGCAAGACTTGTCCCAAACAAAACAACTGACAAAAGAGCCACTGTCAACAAGGGTGACAGTGAAGAAATGGGAGCCTTTGTACATAATAGGTGAGAATATAAAAACAATATAGAGGAGATGGGGAGATGGCTCAGAGCTTTAGAATACGAGTTTCTCTTCCAGAGAATCCAGGTTCAGTTCCCGGCACCCACATGGGTTCTCACAGCCATTGCAACTCCAATTCAGGGGAACACACACCCTCTCCTGGGCCTCCAAGAGCACCAGACATGCACATGGGTCCACAGACATGCATGTAGACAAAACACTCATTCACCTAAAATAAATAAATCTTAGACCTGGGGAGATCAGTGGTTAAGAGCACTGAGTGCTCTTCCAGAAGACCTAGGTTCAATTCCTAGCACCCATGTGCTGCCTAATTAATAATCAACTGCAGTCCCAGGAGCCCCAATGCCTTCTTGAGACCTTCCTGTTACTGAATCAAACTCCTAGTGCACAGACATGCATGCAGTCAAAACTCACACACTATAAAACAAAATAATTTAAAAAATAAGTTTTAAAAAAGTGTAAGAAACAAGCCAGCCAGGTGTGATGGCACATGCCTTTCTCAGCACTTGGGATTCAGAGGCAGGCAGATCTCTGAGTTCGAGGCCAGCCCAGTCTACAGAGCGAGTCCCAGGACAGCCAGAGCTACACAGAGAAACAAATCTGTCCTACAATATGGTGAGTATGATTTTTTTATAACACACTATATATTTTAAAATTACTAAGAGATTAAATGTAGGTGTTCAGCTGGGCGTTGGTGGCGCACGCCTTTAATCCCAGCACTTGGGAGGCAGAGGCAGGCGGATCTCTGTGAGTTCGAGGCCGGGCTGGACCAACAGCCTCCAAAACAATACAGAGAAATCCTGTCTTGTAAAAACCAAAAATAAAAAATGTAGGCATTCATAAAAAAGTGTGTGATAGTACACAATTTAATTAGTTTGATGTAGCCATACATATATACAATTTTTAACTAATGAAGAGTAAATCTGTAAGAAAGGGTTATAGAGGGTAATATGAGAATCTGATGACCAAGGGGGATGGTGCAGGTCTGTAATCGCAACACCTAGACAGAGGCAGAAAGATCCAGAAGGATCTTTCAAGGTAGCTCCAGCTCCATAGTAAGTTCAAGGCTGGCCTAAGATACTTGAGACCATGCTTCAATCACTTCCCCTCATCAGAAAAAAAATAATGCTGAATAAATTTGAATTTGCCTCTCACATGCCACATCTAATCAGTCTCCATGGCCCATTAAGTCAGACTCTAAAAAAAAAAATCTCAGAACTGGGTCAGCAAGATGGCTCAATGGACAAAGGAACCTGCTGCCAAGCCTGACCATGTAAGTTCAATCCCTCAGACCCACATGGTGGAAGGAGGGAACTAACTCCCTCAAGTGATCTTTTGACTTTCACACCTGTGCTGTGATGCTCACAATGCTGCACATGTAACACAATGTTTTTTTAGATCTCACAACTGAGGATATAGCTCACTAGTAGAGCCTAGCATTCTCAAGACCCTGGGTTTGATCTCCAGTATCCCCCAAACACACACACACACACACACACACACACACACACACACACAGTCTCTGGAGTGGGTCCCCTTCTCTCCATCCACACTGGCACATGGTTCAGGCCCCTCATTATCCCTTGGCCAACTGTTGTCTCCTGCATCCAGGCTTCTCTGGACCCATGGTCTCTTGTTCTAGCCCAAGTGTAGAAACTGAAACTAAACACACATTGGCCATTCATCTTTTGTAGACCTTGAACATCTTGTGACTGGCCCAAGTCTTCCTCCTATTTGTGGACTCACAAGAAGACACCCAATATATGTCCCATTATAAGGCTGAAGGATGGATAGGAGGAAAGAAAGGAATGAAAATTGGCATATGTCAGTACAGTAGGGCAAGCAGCAGATGAACGTTATTAAGAGACGGATGAATGGATGATCTGAAAGCCTGTCGAATGGGTAAAAGAATGAATGAACTTGAAAGAGACTGTCATTTGTAAAACTGTCCCCTTTCCTCCCCTGGCCCTCAGTTCCTCTTTTTCCTCACCTGGTGGCCTCCTGTCGTTTATGGAAGGTACGATTAGGGAAGTTGGCAGACAAGAAACTTTCATCATCTCCCAAGATAGAGGTCTTCCTATTTCTGGTAGAGGCCTGGACAGCTGCCCGCAAAGCATTCCAGGTCTGCTTTTGGGGACCTGTCCAAGGGAAAATCAAGTCAGGGTCACACTCTTTCCTGGGTCACTGAGCAAATCCACCCAGCACCCAGACAATCCCTAGTCCGCTCCAACCCCTACTTCCTTCCCCACTGCCGCCACCCCAGCCCTCTCTGAGTGCAGGTCTCCCACAGTGTCCAGACACCCCAGGCCTCCCAGCTGCACTCACCACAATCCAGTTCCTCCTGTAACTGCCTGTGTAGTCGCTCCAGGTCCCAGGGCCCCTTGAGCTCCTTGGCCCTTGTCTTCCCCCTCTGTGGCTTTCGGAGGCTGTTGGAACTGGAGCCGCTTTTTTGGCTATGGCCCTGCAGCTCCCCTTCTTCTGATGCCTTCTCTCCAGAATTCCTTCCCTTATCGTGAGAGCTGCTCTTCCTCCTGTGGGGGGCGCTGTGTTCCTCCTCCTCTGAGCTCCACTCCTCCTCCAAGATCAAGCCCCTCCCTGGCAGCTGGGGCAGTTCCCCAGGGCTCTGAACCGTCTCTGCCTCCTCAGCATCCTGGCCTTCTGCTTCTGAGACATCCTCAGACTCTGCCCCTGACCCTTTTCCTGGTGGGCAGAGCCCACTCTGGCTGCCTCGCTCCAGCCCTTGGCTTTCTGCTTTGCCCACAGGGAGGGTGATGCTGCTGCAGCCTCCCAGCTGTTGTCTCCTCTCCAGGGTTTGCACTTCCGTCTTCTGGCCGAAGCCAGGCTCTTCTGGGAGGCTGGCTACTGACTTGCGCTTAGACTTGAGCTGGGGGGCTGCCGGGGGCAAAAGCATGGATCGGTGGCACAGGGCCACAGAGGAACTTGTCTGAAGCAGAGCCTGGCCATCTATGATGAAGCTTTCCCAGGCCCACTGGAAAGGGAAGGAAGGCTTCCGAGAAGGTGGAGTGAAGAGACTGAAGGAGAGGACAGAAGTCAGAGTGAGGGTCCTCCTGGTCCCCAGTACACCCTCCCCCAGCCCATGCCCAGCCACTTACTCCTCTGCTTCAGCTGAGCCTTGTCCTTTCCTGTTCCGCCTCCGGGGCTTGCGCTCTTTCTTTGGTGTCTGCCCTGCGCTCTGAGATCTCCGCAGCTGGCAGCTCTGACTGTGGAGGCTGTCGCCACTCCCGAAGCATCCCTGGGCAGGACAGGGAAGAGGGCAGCTCCTGTCCGCATCTCTCTTTACATTCTGTCCCTGCCATGGCTGTCTCTAAGACTCACTGATTACTCATTACTTCTGTTAAAATACCAAGAGCTGCAGACCCAGGTTCCGGAGGTGACTCACTAGGTAAAGGCAATTGTCACTACCCCTAACAACCTGAGTTTGAACCAGGGGACCCACATGATTGGAGAAAACCAACTTCCACCTGTCATTCTCTGATCTTCACTTGCACAACACACACACACACACACACACACATACACAATACACACATACATACACAACACACACACATAAATACACAGCATACACACATACATACACAACACACATACATAATACACACATATACATACACAACACATACATATGCAACACACACATACATACACAATACACACACATACCTACACAATACACACACATACATACACAACACATACATACGCAACACACATATACATACACAACACACACATACATATACAACACACACACATAAATACACAGCATACACACATACATACACAACACACACACATACATACACAATACACACACACTATATACACAACACACACACATATACAATACATACACATTATATACACAACACACACATTGAACTCTGCTGTGAGAGAAGTGTCCCAATGTTCTCAACACACAGAGATGATAATTGCCCTGATTTGGTTGTATATAAGGATTATTATACTGTTCCCCATTATTATATTTTATATTGTTATTGCTGTACATTTTTGTTGTTTTGTTGAGATGGGGGCTGAGGATGGTCTCAAACTCACTGTATAGCCTAGGGTAGCTTTGTTTCATTTTGTTTTTTGAGACAGGGTTTCTTTTTTTGCGGGGGTGGGGGGGTGGGGGTGGGGAGACAAGAGGTTTGAGACAGGGTTTCTCTGTATTGTTTTGGAGGCTGTCCTGGAACTTGCTCTGTAGACCAGGCTGGTCTCAAACTCACAGAGATCCGACTGCCTCTGCCTCCCGAGTACTGGGATTAAAGGCGTGCGCCACCAACGCCCAGCAGAGACTGGGTTTCTATGTGTAGCCCTAGCTGTCCTCAAACTTGCTCTTTAGACCAGGCTGGTCTTGAACTCATGGAGATCCACCTGCCTCTGCCTCCTGAGTGCAGGATTAAATGTGTGCGCCACCACCATGTGGCTGAGGATATTCCTGAACAACCAATCCTCCTATCTCCACCTCCCAAGTGTGGAATGTCAGCCTGCACCAGTATGTTTCATCTGAACTTCTTTAAATTTAGGAAAAGGTCTGGCTGGGTATGGTGGCACATACCTGTAGCCCCTCATACTCAGGGAACGGAGATGGGAGGATTGTGAGTTCTAGGACAGCCCATATAATTTTGGTAGGATCCTATCAAACCCTCCACTACTACCACCTTCCAAAACAACCACAACAAAAGCTCACGTTTTTTGGATGTCACACAGGGCTCTGGACTTAGCCCAACAAAAGGAAGGGAGCTAGTCTACTTCCTAGAGGCCCTTTCTCCTGCAGTGTGCCCAAGTTACTCCACCGTCCTCTATGGGCCTGTCCCAGGCCTTCCTAACTGTTACCAGGACCTGAGCTCTAGTCTCACGCTTCCTCAAGAGCCTCAGCCAGCCCTAGCTTCTCTAGGCTAAGATGCCACTGGGCAGTTGGAAGTTCCTCAGCTGGGCCTGCCTCCCTCACCTGCTCCTCCTCCGGAGAGATGCTTGATAGAAGTTTGAACAGCCCTGTGGCTGTCGCTGGAACCAAGGGCTCTGTGCTGTGCCTTGATCTCTCCGATATGGCCCTGGTCAACAGTTGGTCAGATTTTAGCATATTGGTACCCTGCCCTTTCCCACCCCCACCTGCCAACTCTGGAACTGCCCTCTCTGCCATCTCCATGACAACCAGGCTATGGCCAGTCAAATGACCCTCGCAAAAAGTACTAGGCAGGGGTCAGCAAAGGTGTATGACACTGACTTCCCATCAGAAATGGTGTTCAATGAGACCCAGGACAGCACCCTGCCTCTGCCCCTGCTACCTAGCCTGGTATAAACTCCCCACCTCTTTAAGCCTATGTTTGCCCATCTGTTATGAACGGGACATCAGGTCCTGAAGCCCATGAGTCGGGGCCTAAGGCAGGCCATGTCCCTCAGCCTGCCTTCCCCTGGCTGGGCCAGACCACTACTACATATCGCTCTCCTCAGGCAGCAAGTGGGTCAGAGTGCACAATGGCTGTGCTGACATTTCCTGTGTGTGCCTGTGTGTATGTATACTTTGTATTTGCTGTAATTTTTATAGATTTTGTTTTGCTTATTTTAGACAGTGTCTTACATGTATCCCTACCTAGTCTAAAAGTCTCTCTGTAGACCAGGCTGTCCTTCACACAGAGCTCCGCCTGTCTCTGCTTCAAGAGCACTGGGATTAAAGACATATGCTACCATGTCCAACAAGTTTTCACTTTTTCTATGTGGTTTCTGGGAATCTCTCAGGTCCTGGGAATCTCTCAGGTCCTTATGCCTGTGTAGCACTTCTTACTGTTTTGTAGGAGTTTTTTTTTTGTTTGTTTGTTTCTTTAAGCAATGTCTCGTATAGCCCAGGCTAGCCTCAAGCTCTGTATGTAACTGAAGGTAACTTTAACCCTTATCTTCCTGTTTCCCCTCCCAAGTGCTGTGTAAACAGACATTTCCTATTCCCACCACCCGGTCACAAATAACTGACTCAGAGGTTTACATTAATTGTAAATAAGCTCAGGCTTATTACTAACTAGCTCTTAAATTTTTTTTTTGGTTTTTTCGAGACAGGATTTCTCTGTGGCTTTGGAGGCTGTCCTGGAACTAGCTCTTATAGACCAGGCTGGCCTCAAACTCACAGAGATCCGCCTGCCTCTGCCTCCCAAGTGCTGGGATTAAAGGCGTGCGCCACCAACACCCGGCTAGCTCTTACATTTTAAGTTAACCCATATTTCTTATTTATGCTCTGCCATGTGGCAGTACCTGTATTAACATGGCACATCTATCTTCTGCTCCTTCTATATCTGACAGAGAGATTCCTCTGACTCTGCCCTACTTCCTCCCATCATTCTCAGTTTGGCTTTTCTGCCTAACCTTATTCTGTTCATCTATTAGCCAGTCGGCTTGTTCATTAAACCAGTTACAATAACAAATCTTTACAGTGTACAAAGGGATTATTCTGCCGGGCGTTGGGGTGGCACATGCCTTTAATCCCAGCACACAGGAGGCAGAGGCAGGAGGATCTCTGTGAGTTTGAGGCCAGCCTGGCCTACAGAGTGAGTTCCAGGACAGCCTCCAAAAAAATATAGAGAAACCCTGTTTCAAAAGAACAAAAACAGAAAACAAAAAACAAAGGGATTATCCCACAGCATTTCCCTTTTTGTCTAACTAAAAAAAGAAGGTTTGGAGCTAGAGAGATGATTCAATGATTAAGAGCACCGGCTGCTCTTCTAGAGGACCTGGATTCAATTCCCAGCACCCACATAGAAGCTAAGAACTGTCTGTAACTCCAAGATCTGACACCATCTCATAGACATACATTCAGGCAAAAACAACAATGCTCATAAAATAAAAATAAATAAAAAGGAAAGTTTTAAATTTAACATAGTAAAATTATTTACAACAAATATAGTTATCAAATAAGATTTACAGTAACAGTGTCCAATCCATTTGTATTTGGCAAAATTAAAGAAAATACTCTGCCGGGCATTGATGGCACACACCTCTAATCCCAGCACTCGGGAGGCAGAGGCAGGTGGATCTCTGTGAGTCTGAAGCCAGCTCTGGTCTACAGAGTTCCAGGACAGGCTCCAAAGCAATACAGAAAAACCTTGTCTCAAGAAAAAAAAAAACAAGAAAATAAAATACTCTATCAACTCTCTTATCTTTGTGAGCCCAAAGTCTTATAACAATATCCAATACAATCTCTCTCTCTCTCTCTCTCTCTCTCTCTCTTTTTCCTGAGACATAGTTTCTCTTTAGAACAGTTCTGGCTGTTCTGGAACTCACTCTGTAGACCAGGCTTATCTCAAACTCACAGAGATCTGCCTGCCTCTGCCTCCTGAGTGCTGGGATTAAATGTGTGCACCACCACCACTCAGTCTCTAATTTATCTTTTGTCATAACTAAGGAACATTATGACTATCCAGTCTTCAACTCCATCAAAGACCCTGGAAAGGTGAAAAGTTACCTAATGACAGAGACATCAGACTTCCTGGACAGTCACCCAAACTTCCTCTGTAACATTGGGGCATCCAACTCTGGCTTACAGGCCTAGCATATCTGACAGGCTTTTCTGTGAAGCAGGATATTCTGAAGGACTGTCATGTCTACCTTGTCTTGGCAAAGTTCAGCAGTTGCCTTTCTTATGTCTTGATGGCCCAGTTTTTTTGCCCACATGGCCAGCATTTGCCATAAAGAAAACAAACTCCATACAGAGTTTCTTTGATGCTCATCATTTTTTCTGAAGTAGATTGGTGCTTCCGGGAGCACATATGTCTCACTGTCCTAAAAAGCCTAAGTTCTTAAAACATTTTAAATGCCATAGTCTGTAGATCTTTGACATGTTTGAAGACTGACTATCTATCTGAAATATATATCTGTACACCTAGGAAACCTAACTAACATGACTATACATTTGGCTATTATAGATGACTATTAATCTGTATTTCTTAATTATACATTACATTTTTCTTGTTTGTTTTAAGATTTTTTTTCATGTATACAGTTTTCTGTCTGCAGGCCAGAAGAGGGCACCATATTTCATTACAGATGGTTGTGAACCAACATGTGGTTGCTGGAAATTGAACTCAGCCAGTGCTCTTAACCTCTGAGCCATCTCTCCAGCCCCTTTACTTTTTTGTTTCGAGACAGGGTTTCTCTGTATTGTTTTGGAGGATGTCCTGGAACTTGATCTGGAGACCAGGATGGCCTTGAACTCACAGAGATCCACCTGCCTCTGCCTCCCAAGTGCTGGGATTAAAGGTGTGTGCCACCAATGCCCGGCTACATTACATTTTTAATTGAGATACATAAACACAATACCTTAAACAAGAGTAGAAATATACATACAGTATAACAAAATTAACTTTAAATTTGTATTAATAAACTAAAATCCATACCAATGTAAAATATTTTGAGATTAACTGTTGTTTTTCAGATTAAAGGAGATTCAATAATCTACCTTTTTCCCCATCATTTCTATATCATATCCTCTTTCTTCTTTTAGAAAGAGATCTCTGAATTTAATTTTTTAAGTCTTGTCTGAAGTATTTTGTGAGGCTAGATCATCTTACTCAGTAACCTAGAAGCTGTTTTGGAGACTGGATCACCTGGGCCATTTTTATTGGTGTCTGGTTCCCCCGTTTTGAAAATACACAAACTTTTAAAGGTAGCATACATATCTGTATTAATACAAATATAACTGTGTACATAAGCCAGCCACAGATAATTTTTTTTGTTTTATGTTTGAGTAGGTAAAATATATATCACCTGTCCTGTAGGGTTTTTGTTGTTGTTGTTTTGGGTTTCTTTTAGATTTATTGTTTTATGTCTGTAGAGAGGATTTAGAGGGTCTTCCCCTATCAAACCTGACTTTCCTTTCTTTTTTAAAAAATATTTATTTTATACATCTACACATAAAGCCTACATGCCAGAAGAGGGCATCAGATCTCATTATAGATGGTTGTGAGCCACCAAGTGGTTGCTGGGAATTGAACTCAGGACCTCTGGAAGGGTAGTCAGTGTTCGTAACCAATGAGCCATCTCTCCAGCCCGCTGACTTTCCTTTCTTTTGTTTTTATTTTTTGTGGGGTTTTTTGGTTAGGTTTGGTTTGGTTTTGGTTTATTTTATGAGACAGGAGTTCTCTGTGCAGTTTTGGAGCCTGTCCTGGAACTTGCTCTATAGACTAGGCTGGCCCAAACTCACAGAGATCTACCTGCCCCTGCCTCCTGAGTTCTGGGATTAAAGGCGTGCGCCACCAACGCCGGCTTTTACATCATTTTTTAAATATATGACTGTTTCTATCCTTTCTGTTCTTTCTCCCAAGCCTACACACATTTTTCAAACTCACTTCGACACATTTAGAGGCCTTTTTGTCTGAATATGCCTTTATTGTATATCTCTAACCCTTTTTGTCTCTGTACCTCGGCCTGTGTGAGACTTAGGGAATCTGCCACACTGCAGCTCAACCCCAAATGCCGAGGCCATGGGACATGTCTCTGTACCATGAGCCTCATAAGAGACATGAACTATGAAGCTGCTCTTGGCTCCATTTTTTTTTTGTTTGTTTGTTTTTACGAGACAGGGTTTCTCTGTATTGTTTTGGAGGCTTTCGGTCCAGCCTGGCCTCGAACTCACAGAGATCCGCCTGCCTCTGCCTCCCGAGTGCTGGGATTAAAGGCGTGTGCCACCACCGCCTGGCTTGGCTCCATTTTTATGTGTTTACAACCCTTTTTTAAAAGCTTTCTCAGGCTTTATGTGGGTGTGTATGGCCCACTTTGGGTACTATATGTAAACGAATGTTTCCTGTCCTGATCACCCAATCCCAAATAACCAACTCAGAGGCTTATATTAATTGTAAATGCTTGGCAATAGCTCAGGCTTATTACTAACTCACATTTTAAGTCTACCCATATTCTTCATTTATACTCTGCCATGTGACACTACCTTTGTTAACATGGGACGTTCACCTCCTACATCCTTTGTGTCTACCAGAGATAGCTCTGACCACACCCTTCCTCCCATCATTCTGTTTGGCTTTCCTGCCTAACCTTATTCTGTCCAGCTATTGGCCAGTCCACTTGTTTATGAAACCAATCACAGTGACAAATCTTTACCGTGTACAAAGGGATGATTTCACA